AATTATTTGCCTACAGGGCATTATTCTAGAGGCCCATATAATTTGAAAGTTAATGCTGAACACTTAACTATACCATGATTTCTGTATTGGGGAAAGTTTAAAAAATGTGATTCTAATGAGTGCTCTTAAGATTCTTACAAAAATCTTAGAAGTAAGGTTTTTGAAAGCATTCTCTTGTTAAAAAGTAAACATGAAAACATAGATTGCAACATGGATCAAAAGTAACTCAAAGTTTGTTATATGTATGTACAACTGTGCCATTATTCTTTATAATTAAAATGTACTAAAAGAAACTAGAAAAGTAACTTCAGAAAAGGCATGTGTGGGGCACTGGGTTTAATTCTCAGCACTGCACATAAACAAATGAATAAAAAAAATAAAGGTCCAACAACCACTAAAAATATATATGAAATTTTTTTTTTTAAAATAACAGTGATAGAAAAGAGTTATTTGTTATAAGCAAATCTAAAATCTGATAAAATAAGAAAATAAAGCAACACTTCTGGTCCATGTTCCCATTCTGATAACCCCAATCCACATATTAACATCCATCTATAGCTCAATACCCAGGCTTGAGGCTCTATTTTATAGTGTGTGAATTCCATTCATGCCATCTGAAAACTGCATTTTTTGAGCTCCACATTAGTTTTCTCTGCCTTTTATACCACACCTTCTCCTCTGAACAGCTTTTTCAAAAAAGAAGGAGGAGGAAGAAGAGAAAGTAGGAAAAAAAAACAAAGTCAGGAAAGAGAAAAGGCAGATGGAGTCCACAACTATCTTTTATTTGTCACCATGTTTAAACGCATGTATATATGTTTACATGTTGGCCTTATATGTTTAATTACCTATAATTATATAGAATTCATGTGATTTTATAATATATAAACAAGTGTTTAACATAATAAATTACAATATTATAATTTATACTATAAATTATACTATAATTTATACTATATATCATGTGGGTTTAAACAAAGCTAAGGGAATATGAAAGGCTAAACATTAAAAAAAAGTCACACATTTAATAGGCACTACCTTCTGTCCAAATGTAGGTGCATTTGTGTTTTAACACACCCAGGTTTAGCTGGTTAAACTCACCTGAGTGCTTTGTGGGTAAAGGTGGGAGGTAGAGTAACAATAAGGAAGAGGAGGGGGGTATGTGACAAAAGAGGGAAGCTATCAGAATGTAAAATTATGGAAGCTGACTCCAGTCTCACTGTTTATCTCAATAGGAATGAGAAAACTCCTTTCCAAATGACCTCAAGAATTACCTGGGGCACTTATTATGAATGCAGATCTACTGAGTCAGAATTTCTAGGGGAGGAGCCTGGAAGGACTTTTAAGCACCACCCCCATACAAACACAAGTGCTTCTAATGCACAGGCCAATTTGGAAAAACAACATGAGCAAAAGTGTGACCTATAATAGTCAAAGGAATGAACTGAAGTCATGAAATGCTAATAATCCCAAATACTGCTAGCATTTAAAAATGCTAGATTTAGAGACTCCCAGCTCAAGGATTGGGGTGGGATGTAAAAGGAGCATCACCCCCGCCCCATACACACACACACACACACTGCATCATTTTCCTGCAACTTTGCCAAACTGATATTAAGAGACATGGAGAATGGGAGGGTCTAGATGCTTTGGACCATACAAATGACCGGTCAGAGGTAGATCGGTGAAGCACTAAATTTGCTATTCTGACAATATTCCCAGAGACTTAATCTAGACTTAATAGATTTCCACAAACTAAATGGCTCTAGTAAAATTTCAAAACGGGGATTTAGAGAAAGATGTTGCATGACTTGCAGTGAGCAAAAACTTTCAAAGCTAGGCTACTGAATTTAAAAGAATAACTAAAGAAGAAAGTCATGTCCTGTGAAGGCAGAACTTACCTGTAGTAACGGGAACACGTAAAGAACCAAGTAGGAACCTCTCCTCTCCTTTTGGCAGCAACTTACCTACTAGGAATGGTTCCCAGAGCCCCCTCACCATGACTCTACCGAAACGTGATTCTTCCTCCGGTGCTCCGACAGCCCTGCCCCTCCCTGCTCCGCACTAAAAACTCTAGTTCCCGTGCCCTGGGGAAGGCACTTTCTAAAGCTTTTCTGAGCTGGGAAAGTCCAGGCTGGCGACCTTACCTGGGTTAAAGAGCATGATCCCCTTGAGGTAGGCATACTCTTTGGTACTGATATCCAGACTCCAGCACTTGGCAAGGAAGGTCTTGATGGCCCGAACAGTGGTAACCCAGGGCAACTGCTCAGCTTCTGACAGCGGCGCCAAATTTGGCTGCGATGTGGACAGAAGTGGTGGCTCGAAGCCCTTGGTCTCCCGCCGCCTGGTGGTGAGGCTCCTCTGCAGCATGCTGGGCTCTGAAGTCTCCGCCGTCTCGAAGTACAAGCGATCCTGGGCGAGCTCGAGCATGAGTAGAGACGCCCAACAACCTCGCAACAGCACTAGCTGCTGTTCAAGGACTAGCACCTGGAAGCAGGGCAAATACTTAACAAAGCGTAGCGTCTTCAACAGGCCAGCTGAGGCTGCCTCACAGACCACCTGTGGATTCTTTAGGGCCACCGGCTGCTGCGCGCCACACCAGGTGACCCAAGAGGCCGCTGGCCGCGCCTCGGGAGCCTCCGGGGTTTGATTCGTGCTCGTAAGCATGCTGTATGGGATGATGCCCTGCTGCTGTTGCTGCTGCTGCTCCTGCTGCTCCTCCTGCAGCTGCTGCAGCTGGTCTTCACCGCAAAAGTAGTTGTGGTAGTGGAGCGCTGGGTCCCGTCCGCCAGGCAGCCCTTCTCCATCTCTCAGCCTCTGAGCGCTGGAGGAGAACTCCCACCCCGAGCCTCCTGGCTGTGCCTCGGACGCCTCCGGAGCCACAGGCGTTTGCTTTGCATTGGTGAGCAAGCTGTATAAGATGCTGCCCTGCCTTGGGTGCTCTTCCCCACAAAAGCAGCAGCGGTACAGGAGCGAAATGGCCTGTCCGCCCGGGAGCCCCTCTCTGCCCACCTGGGACTCAGAACCGCATGAGCAGCCCCAGCACGGAACTCCCAGCCGCGCTTTGGGAGCCTCGGGAGCCGCTTGGGTCTGCTTTGCGCTGGTGAGCATGTTGTAGAGGATGCTGCCCTGCCTTGGGTGCTCTTCCCTACAAAAGCAGCAGCGGTACAGGAGAGAGGTGGCCCGCCCGCCTGGCAGTTCCTGTCGGTCAACCCTGGGATCAGCACCGCATGAGCAACCCCAGCACGGAACCCCGAGCCGCGCTTTGGGCACCTCAGGAGGCGCCTGCGGTTGCTTAGCGCTCATAAGCATGTTGTAGAGGATGCTGCCCTGCCACTGGTTGTCTTCGCCAGCCATGGCCCGTGCCGTCCGCTGTCGGTTGTGCCCAGTGGCCGCCTCCTGGGACTTATTTATACTGAGCGCACACGCAAGCACGTCCGCCTCCTCCGCTTGGGCTCAGAGGGGGGCGCGGCATTGTGATTCCAAGTGTCTGCCTAGGACCTCAGAGGTTCAAAGAAGCAAATATCCCCTTGAAGCTGTTAATGGAAGAATATTAGCATTTGCGAGCTCCTGGACACTTCCTTTCGTCCCTTTACCTTGCCTCTAGAAGACTGGAACGGAGCTCCTGGAGCAGGGGGTTGGGGCACTGTTAAGATCTTTCCATTGTACCCTAGCATCTAATTTGTTCCTTTTATTGGGAGCTCTACGTGCCTAAAAGAGGGAAAAACTATTTCTGTGCCATCTTTGTAAACTTTCACGAAATGACCACACTTCGTGTGAATTGTATTTTGTGTACGAATAGGGAGGTCTTATTTTTTGAGATCTAGAAAAATATAAACCATAGATCAACAGTACCAGCACTATATGGAAACTCTGTATAAATGTCCAATCTCAAGCCTGACCCAGACCTTCTAACTCTGAATCTGAATGTTAATGAAGATTCCAGGGAATTCGATGTGCCTTAACATTTGAAAAGCATCATAAATGTTCAGTTTAATTCATCAATATTTATAAGCATCCACTGTGTCCTAGATGCTGTGTTAGAGAGCTGGGGTGGCAACCAGTGTATAAAAATGGCTAAAACTTGGGAATATAAAAATCACCAGATGGCTACAGTGAGAATCTTTGATCCTTGTAGAGTTATTACACTGATGAGTGTGTAATATTCTGCGCCCAACCGTCCTGAGCTAATAATGATAAATACAAGCATCAGGAAGCCTGGGTCCTGTTCTTCATTTGCCACACAGTTTCCTTCTTCTAGTTTCAAACAGTACTGAGATAAATGAACCTCCCTCCCCCACACCACCAGAGCTCCCTGTGTAACTAGTTGATTGTTTCACCATCCTGCCATGTAACTTCAGTATCACCAGCCCTTTGATTTTCAAAATCCTCATCTCTAAAATAAGAAAATCATATTACTGATGTCTTGACTCCAGGACTGAAGATGTGAAGCCGTGAAAGGAATTTGTAAAAGTCGCTTTTGTTGTTGTTGTTGTTGTTCTTTTACTTTTGTATTTTTTGTCACTGGGGATTGAACCCAAGGGTGGTTTACCACTGAGCTACATCCCCAGCCTATTTATTTATTTGTTTATTTAGAGATTGGGTGTCCCTAAATTCCCAAAGCTGGCCTTAAACTTGTGATCTTTATGCCTCAGTCTCCAGAATTGCTGGGATTACAGGCATGCACCACCAAACCCTGCTATTTTTTTTTTTTTTTTGTCTTTTTATAAATTTTCTAGCAGTGGAACTCTGAGCACAAGAGGAAGATGGAAGGGAACCCCTCAGTTTTCTTTCCACTTAAAATTTCATTCTGCCTGTGAGAGGCGCTGTGGTGCAGTGCTTAAATCTCTGGCACTGGCACCAGATTACCTCGATTTTAATCCTGGCCTTGTTTTTATTTTGTAGCTCCATGGCCTTGGGCAATGCATTACTCTCCTAGTGCTGCTGTAAATGACACACACACACACACACACACACACACACATACATCAATCACAAATGTATGAGCTTAAGGAAACATGAAGAACACATGTTTATTATGTTTCAGTTTTGGAGGCCAGCAATCTGAAATTGGTTTTACTGGGCTAAAAATCAAGATGACATTTTGTTCTGGAAGCTGTAGGAAAGAATCTATTTCCTTCCCTTTTCTAGTTTCTGGAAGCTACCTGCATTCCTTGGCTCTTCACCACATTGATCTGATTTTTGTTTTTATCACCTTCTCAGACTCTTGCGAGGATCTCTGTGATTATACTGCACCCACCCAGATAATCCAGGATAATATAGCCATCTCAGATGCTTTCATTTAAGCAAAGTTCATTTTACCCTGCAAGATAATAAATACAAAGGTTCTTATAATTAGGACATGAACATCTTTGGGGAAACATTATTCAATCTATCACTGGAAAGTTGCTTAAGATGTATATACCTCAGTTTGTTCCATACATAAAAAGTGAACTGTAGTATCTGAGATAATTTTCATACATAAGTTAATTCAAGTAAAATATTTAGAGGGATGTTTGATACATAATGTGTTGGATTATTGTCCCCCTTTTTAGGACAACATGGGGTAACTTTAGGATTAGGAAGTGATACTACATCAGGGAAGTTCACACTTACTCTCTACCCCAAAACATTTGTGTACACATTTCTTGCCCCAGACTCAAATTACTGAATGAGTCACTTAATGCACAGTAGTAATATATATTGGCAATGTTAGTTCATTGTCCATTTCATTATTTGCCATTTCAATATTCAAGCTACTATTTTGGTTATTGCTATTGCTGCTTAGCAATCTTCCTGCTTAATGACCCCACCAACAGAAAAACTGTGCCTGAGTCCCCAGCTTAAGTTGCCAGGGCTACTTACAATTTTATTTTCTTCCCAATACCTGATGACTTCTTTATTTAATCAAGTGATGTTTGTTGATTATCTCCTCCAATGAGCATAAAAGACCCTTGTGGGTAAGGAATTCACTACTCTATCCAGCAATCAGTACAGTGTCTGACACATAGTAGGTACTCAAAAATATATTTTTCAGCCAACTGAAAGAGAGAAGGAGACTTCAGATCCTATACTCAACACAAAGGCCAAGAATTCCCACACAGTTATTGCTGCACTGACCCTGGAAGGAGGAAAGGCCTTGATAGAGTTTTCTGGAAGCCTATTTTGATACTCAGAATGCTACAAGCACTGCAGCAAAGTAACAAGAGAACTGGGTTAAACAGAACAGTCAAAGAACTGGCCTTGAATTTGGGATCTTCTATTCTAAAGATATATAGTCATCTAACTTGAGCCTTCTCATTTGTGAAATGGGGACAAAATTCTATAAGCCAACATTAATGTGTAGATGCTGTTCTAAACCCTAAAAGGGTTATTATATTTTTCCCTCAAGATATGACATTTACAGAAATGTTTGCTGGTCCTGCTACCACATTGGCATATAAAGTAATTTAAATTTCCAATCATTTACTTTCTAATGCTTTATTTAGGGTCAAAGCATTTAGCTTTTCATCTATGAAATTGGAAAAATAGTGCTTAAACTAGTTTTAATATGTGCACCTTAGCCCTATGTCTTTCAAAGGTTTTTCAAAAACACTCTCATCACATCAACTAAATTTTAAAATATCCCCAAAACTTAAATGCACTCTGTGTGAATTTAATCATTCCAACCTCACATATATTTGATGTTTTTGACTTTGAATTTCAGGCATTGTTTGAAATTGAACCCTAAGTGCAGTGCTGAGAAACATGAATTTGTAATATATTGGTTATTGTTCCTATTCTTTCCCAGGAGCAGAGTCTCCTGATTTTCTAATGTTTTTCTTGAAGTTGTGATCTGATCTTCTATTTGCAACTCTGAAGGACTTTTAGGCTCTTTGGATTGACTGTTTCTAAGGAGAGATTGCCTGTTTGTCCTTCACAAGTATTCATCCTTGGAAATGTCAGAAGAAAACTGACTTCATCTTTCCACTTTCCATTTTTTTTCCCTGAACAAATAGCTTCTGAGAAACAAAATCATCCAAACACCACCAGTGTAGACATTTGCAACAAATAGTGCCAGCCTGCTGGGTGCTACAGGATTTGCAAAGACATAACCTTCTAAGGCAGTCTTAGGCTTTTTCATTTGATTTGTTCCATGTGCTCAGACCATTGTGACAGACAGACAAAAGGACACTCATCAACTGAACCTGTCATGTGCTGAGATTGTCCACAACTGTAATTTGGATATTTACACTGACTCATTGTGTGATGACCTTGGCCAGTTGGACACCTGCTCTGTAGAATCCATTATCTGTTCCAACTCAGGGTGGGAGTAAAGCTGTTCTGCCTGCCTGAATGCAACTTTCAACTTCAAAGTAATGCAATTTTCACTAAAGGCTGTAGGAGTGAGGTACAGGTGGGGATAAAGTTGGGTAAAATTGTAAAATTGACCTTTGACAGCAAACTGCCCTTGACCTAGGAAGGTAAGATGATTGGAAATATGATATGAATTTTCAATATGGGCTTAAAGAAACTGGAATGCCATAGAAAACAGGTGACAGGGAGTACCAAGAGCAGCATAGTACCAATGCCTTCAGTAAACAAGCAACAGAAACTACCAATAGTGTTTTCCTTATTTTTCAAGGCAAATATTAGGTAAACACTGTTATAGACAAGTAGTAGCTGATGAAACCCAGGAGATAGTCTCCTTTCTTTCCTGCTCCAAGACTTAGAACCTTTAAAGCTATATTTATGGAAGAATCAATAGACTTGCTGATTCATGAAACCCTTAAAAAAGATCAAAACTTCCTTATTTCTTTCAGATAAGCTACAAAGAAGGAAATTGGCTGCCTTAGGGGTTACATAGTTAGAGAGCTGGAATTATGACTCTTGTACTCACTGTAATCCTGAAATGTTCTAAAATCAACTTGAAGATCAGTCAATCAACCAACTACTCCAATTGAAGGAAATATATCCAACAAATCAGTTTATTTTACTGAATCTATCAATTTTGAATCCATAGTAATATCAGAAGTCGACCAAATTATCTGATTAATAAATTCAACTGACTGGCAGGTTTAAAACATGTTGCCCCATTGATTTGACTGGTCACTATGAAAATCACTACTCTTTTGGTCCACAGTTTTTTCCTTAATGGTGATGTTGATTTTAGTCACAGGTGCTCTTTATATTGGGATCTGGGACTGTTATATTATCTCTCTCCTAGAAAAATTGCTTTCTTTTCCCTTCCAACTTTCTTTAGCAACTTACTCTTCACAATCATATCTGCATTGTGCATCATAGGGCATATTGAAGACACTCAACAAACACTTGCTGGGTGAAGCGGTGACTGAAAATTTCTTCCATTAATTTTTTTTGTTGCTCAGCCTTCAAATTTCCCCTGATTTTAACAGTTTTGTCAGCTCTCCCTTCTGTCAAGTACCAGCTATGTGTCTTAAACAGTCTCATTTCCAGTTTGACAGTCTTTAGCATGAGAGTAAATGCATTTTCTAGGTTTACTTCACAAAGCTGTTGATTGTGTGAAATTATGTTCTATATCTTTAAAAAACATTAACAGTAGCTCACAAATGTCAGGTATTGGAACTAGATCACAATTTCTCCTTAAGGAAACAGCACCAGACCTTGGGAAGTGATATATTTCCCAATTAAATTGAATTTGTGCATTCAACGTTCTCTGAGCACATACATTACAAATGAACTTGTGATAAGAGATCACCAATAATAAGTCATTCCGTCTAGAGTTAAATGCTTTTAACATTAGTAGTGGCATCAACTCACTTTCTCTGAATGCACAATGACAAACATATGAAAAAAGGTGAAGAATAGTAGGTGAATTTCTCTGTAGCAGGCAGGAGCTGTGGTACATGCCTGTAATCCCAGCAGCTTGGGAGGCTGAGGTAGGAGGATCACGAGTTCAAAGTCAGCCTCAGCAAAGGCGAGGTGCTAAGCAACCCAGTGAGATTCTGTCTCTAAATAAAATACAAAATAGGGCTGGGGATGTGGCTCAGTGGTTGAGTGCCCCTGAGTTCAATCCCCGGTACCGAAAAGAAAATTCTCTGTAGCAAAGCAAAGCACGGGTGATGAAGAAAATCAGAACCTTTATTTCTAAACTGATGTTTTTGCTATGGTGGGTGTAGCTGGGTTATAAAAAGAAGCTGCCTTTGGCTTGAATTCTTCGAAGCAGGGCATAGGATGAGGGCTGTTTGTACTTCCTTCAGAGATGACCCCAGGAAGCAACAATGAGGGTGCAAAAAATGTGAAATGGAAAATGTGTATGTCAATATTAGGGTGCATTACTGAGGTCACTGCTGTGAAAAACAGGGGGCAATTCCACCAGGATTTCCAGAGACACAAACAATGCCTCCCAGAATTTTCCACCCTGAAGAGATGGCAGCAGCATTTATTTATGGGTTTCCATCCCCCAAGTTTAAAGGTTGTCACTAAGTTTTCCTGATATTCATGATGTTGCAAAATACAGTCAACATGAAAAAAAAAATCATACTAGCATGATGGAACTGTCCACCTACCTGTACTAGAAATCAGAGGTATATACGGGCAAGAAGATACAGGCAGGGATCAGAAGCATCTGAGAAAGAAGCTCATGGGCCATCATTGTGAACTGCCTGCCACTTGATATGAAAGAGCTGGTTAAAATGATACAATAACTACCTAAGAACTCCTCTGCTGAGCTCGTTAATCTTTGAAATTTATGCTGTCATTAGTGCTAACATGTCAATTCCTTAGATAAGTAAGGTTTGTAGGGGAAGCAGGTTAAAGACATTTACCCAGCACTCTTGGGACTCTGTGTGTGTGTGTGTGTGTGTGTGTGTGTGTGTGTGTGTTTCTCTAGAAATTGCACAGTATAGGGGCTATTCCAGGGAATTAGCCAAAAGTGATCTGAAGTGTGCAAAGTTCAGGATGGTAGAATTTGTTTTACAGGTAAAGGGAAATTTCTATGACCTCCCTATAGCTGGAATTCTCATGGATGGAAATAAAGGTTCCATTAGGGCCAGACCCTAAAGATTGATTCAGTAGCCATTTGGCAACATTTGAAGTGAAGTTTCCACATGTAAGAGAGGACACATACAAACAAGAAATGAAACCTTTCTGAAGAATTCTGTTAAAATCTACCAAAAGTAGAAACAATGTGAATAAAATATAGATTGGTGTTTCTCTTCTATCTAGAACTGTATGTGAGAAGAAAGTAACTTGTGCTATTGGCATCCTTTAATTCTGTGGATAAAACTTTATCCCATACTTAATATCTTTTATTTCAGAGAGAAAAGATCATTCTAAATGGGTTTACATTGTTGGGCATCTGTT